CTACAAAGTGTGCACAAATGATTAATTATACCTAATAGCATATAAATAATGAAATTTAATCAGTTTATAAGTGAAAATTAAGTTTGCCAAATGTAAATGTACATAATATAATATTCTATAGATGTAATGTGCACAAATTATGAGCTCTAAGCCGAGATTTTGGTGTTCATGAGTACATTACATATAATTTAATGACTTTAATAACTTACTGAAATGCTTGGGCGTATGGATTGTTATCCCGAAATAGTTGGTCTAGGTCTGCAAGCACTTGCTCCAATAAGCGGTGTGGATTCTGTTGCAAGCGAGCCCGGTTTGCTTGCTCAGAACTCACGAAATACAACTCACAATATCTCGGTGGCCTGTTTTCGTTTGGGGCGACTTCAATGTTAGTCCTGTGATACACTTGTCCTTGAGCATAGAATACCCTAGGTCCACGACCTGGCAAATGTCTGGGGTTAAAGTCACTGGAGAACGCAGCGAATGCCAAACTGTTGTTGTAGCTTCGAATTTCAGCTCTAAAGCTCCTGGCTTCCCTTGAATCAGAAGTCAACAAATTCATTAGTAACACAGGTGCGGGTTGCAACACCCGCTCTCCTGTTACGGTCACGAGACCGCTATTACAGCATGTATAGAAACCTCCCTGTGTGGTGCTTTCGATGGGGAAGTGACGGGCACCACAATCTCTACAGACTGCATCCAACGCCCCAATGTAATGCTGTTCTGGGAGCGGATGTTGGATGCCAGCCGGACGATCTATCATTGGTGCACGCCCTCTAGGCTGTTGGACCGGAACACCCGGGGGAATTGGTTGGAACTGCAATTGAAATTATAAAATTTTAACAAACATAGATATAAGTAATATGAAGAAATATTCACTGACCTCTTCATCGATGCCTTGGTGTAACATTTCGATTTCAAGTTGCATCCCCTCATTGTTGTCCACCATCTCTCCTGGTACTACCTCGTCAATGTCCATTAGGACTTCGTCCATTCGAACTTCGATAAATTCTACGTTATCGTCGTTCATCATGACTTGGTCCATCTGGTCTATTTCTTCGTCGATATCTTCCATCTGTACTGCGACGTACTCCACCTCGACCATTTCTGCGTTATCGTCGTTCATCAGGACTTGGTCCATCTGGATGACTTCCTCTTCGATATCTTCCATCTGTACCTCGACGAACTCCACCACGACCATTTCTGCGCAGCCGTTTGCATCGGCATTGTCAATTTCTGCGTGAACTGGTAGTTCACGGTCAGGTACTGGTTGTGCTCCGACCACCTATGCAATCATTTTAATTAGTTTAATGTGCAAGTATTAAATGAACCAATAAGGAGCACAGTCAAGTGTTGATTAGGGTCAATATATTTTACAGAAGAGTTTAATAGTGTTATTTCTATATTTTTAAAAATGTTGTTATAGTTTTATATAGGTTTTATTAAGTATTCGCCTGGTAAAAAATAATACACACTTGGTATAGTTTCCAGTTAATGTATGAACGTTATAAATTAATATATACAATTTATCAAATAAATAGTCATCCAGTGGTTTTAATATTAGTGACGTGGGGTGTTAACACACCTATTTTAACGTTACATTTTTATTTGATAGAAACACAAATTTCCAATAAGATAAGACTGTAGGAAGTATATTGTATTCTATTGAATGTATTTCAACATAACAATTCATCCATAAATAATATCAGGCATATGAGAAAGTATTTAAATATGTTTTGTAAAGTGTAACTGTGATAAAATATTTAAAATAAAGTAAGCTTTACGACCATGAACGTTATGTACAAAAATTATAAGTTATAAAAAACAGTGTATTGAGTATTGTGTAATGTAACTATTGTTTAGGGTACAGGTCTTAAGTGTATCTATTAAAATATCAAATAAAATAAAATCCTAAACTCTATAATAAGCAAAACAAATACAACAAAAACCTTGTGTACCTATGATATGAATAGGTAGTGTGCAATTGATAATAATATTTGTATTTGGTAAAGTCTATTAGTAAGCATCGTACTCTATGAAGGTAGGTTAAAACTCGTTCTATAAGTATTGAAATATGATGTGAAATGTAGTATGCACGTTATAATCTACGTAAAACCCACTAATTTATGACGTATACGTTAAGTTAACAGTGCTAAGGCTTAAGAGGACGTCATACCCAAAGTGGAACGTATACAACGGCTAACAGAACGCGCTGTTAGGTGTTTTCACGATCCGCAAGCGCGCGGCGTTTAAGTCACGCCCACTACTCGCAGTCGCCGGCCGGCCAACGAGTTTTGTTCGGGAGCTCCGTTTATTATTGTATGAACGTTCGTCTAAGACCTTTCGCGTCATTATATAATTCATACACGTAAATTTTGCCGTAATATTTTATATCTCCACGCGTATCCATAACCTAATGATTATAATTTAAGTCACTACTTACACAAATACATGTACCAATATGTAGATCGTATAAACCGTATTATAACATAGCTTGATTTGTATTTATTGCATTATTACTTATTGAAATATAATATACCTACCAATCGTAAAATATAATTTAATAACAAGCTATAACTAGTATAGGTTATTGTTAATCATTCTTTTGGGATAAAAAAATATTACTTTCTACTAAAAAACAAAATGTATGTAAATTCAAAAGCCCATTTACTTCAGCAATAATTTTCGAAATTAATACCTCGGCACTGCTACATAAAAAGTACATGAAAATGCATTATTAGGTTATAACAAATTACAATATTACATTTACATACAACATTTTATTTAAATAATTAGTTTACAATAAATATTAATAAAATAGTTGATTTTATTAGAACAATTTTTTTTTTGCTTTAGGGGTTTTAACCGTAGATGTTTTTGGATCTCGTATGTCAGAAATTAAAAGTCGATATTTAAATGCTGGATCCACGATTTCCGGCAGTAAGCAATTCCAGTAAAATCTATATTCAAAAATATGTTTTATTCTTTAACTACAATCACTATTAATACTTAACTGTGGTACTTACGATTGTAATTTATCTTCCATATTAGAAGTCCAAAAGTTATCATCATAACTTATTTCTTCCACAGAAATCCATTGAGGAGAGTATACAATGAAAAAACACAATTTTCTTTTAGTAATATGCAACTGTCCTTGTATCTGATAGTAATAGATGTTGTTTTTTTTTAATTTTAATTTTTCGTTTTCGACCGTACAATATTTCAGCTGTAAAAAAATTAAGTGGTTAATTTAATCATATCTAATTTTTCGAACCCAGTAAATAGTTTATAATGCTTCACAGCTGTTTATAGTAGGTAAAACACAAAAGGATACTTATGAGTTATATGTAAGTATAGGTACATACTTTTCCAGTTTCTACTGCTTCAATATAATTTATTGTACTTCTAGCCGCATAAGGAGCCTTAACTTCAATTAGCCTATCGTTGTCAATGACTCCATCTAAATATTTATTTTAAACATTATTATTTGTATAAATAATTAAATTACTATCGACATAATTGGAGCTATGTGGGTACATACTGCAGACTATGGTCAAACATTTTAAACATAACAAATCCTGAAAAAACTAACCTGGACTAGCGGCAAGGTACGGGTATTCTTCATCAATGTGCAATCCACAAGGCTTTACTTGAAAACCAGACATTTCTTCGAACTTGTTTATAGCAATTTGTTCCATATCTTTGCCAAATTGTACTGCGCTAAAGTGGTTTTTTTATTTCGATAAAACATCAAATAAATATCAAAAATAATTATTATTATTACCTGGATGTGAAATTAGAATACAATATTGAATGGACTGTATTTTTACAACTTGTATTTTGACGCATTTTACACACCCGCCCAAAATTACTACCTGTTAGCCTCGATAATCTTTCCCGCTTCCATAACTCACTACTAGCCTGGTCTCTGGTTTCTTTTTCGATGTGCACACGGTCAACTTTACCCAACTTTCTAAAAATATTGAAAATAATAGAAGTTGAATAATATACTATGAATATAAATAAGTATATTTGTATTGACAACAATAATATAAAAACCTGACAAATTCATTCATTTCATTTATAAACTGTTCATCATTAACATCTTTTAAATTGTCGAGAGGATCTGCATGACCATAATCTTCATCTGCATTATTATTTCTTTTTGGCCGCTTAGATTTTAATTTTGGTTCATTTGAACTACTTTTTCTTTTTTTCTGGCACGTATAACGTTTCGCTAGTGTTCGTCGCAAAAACTGTTTACCAACTTTCCCTAAAGATCAAGATACAACATATAAATAAATATTTGAATTACCTTTATAAATATATAATATAATAATTTTTTTTAATTTAAGTGTCATAAAATACCTGGGCTTTTATGTGTTATATATTTCTTAACCGATCTTAAATATTCTCCAGAGTTGTAACTGATAACAGCAGCTTGTACACGAGTAGAGTAGGAACTTTTTTGTGTAAAGTTTATTCTTTTCCCACCTAAAAATTTGTTTATTACACTGTTGAATTGCTCGCAAGCGTTGTTGTCTACATCCATTATCAAACTTTCTGCATTATTTGACAATCTAGATACAATTGTATCAATTTCCTGTCTAATTGATTTCCCTTCTAAAATAATGTTTTGCGGAACACCAGATCTTTTACAAAAGTATGCGGAACAATTTTTGTGGATTTCAAAAATACGGTGATTTGGTGCGTTAGCTATATCAAGTCTAAGTCCTAAAATAATTTTATATATTATATATATAATTTAGCAAATAAAAACATGTACAACATATAATGTGTTTTTTAATTACCAGCAACTTTATGATATAAAGGTTTGTTTTCTAATTTACGGAAACGTATAGCACATGTAGTTCTAAGTCTTAAAATATTTGCAGATATTTTTTTCCGGATTTTAATCGGGTAGTCGGTTCGCTTGGATAACGCCATTAATTTTTGGCTGTAATTACGGAGTAAATGGTTTCGGCACTCGACTTTTTGGACTCTACATATTGGGCCATACGGTAGTATCTCATTAAGTCTCTTTGTGACACTGCTGTCACCATCTCCTAAATTTAATTTACGTTTTTATCAAGGTAACAGTACCTATACTATAATAATACTAAATATATTTATAATTTTTTGTTACCTATCAGTTTAGAATATTTTACTCCGTGTATTTCTATACTTCTTTTGAAACCTTCTGCAATTGCATCGGCTTCGATGCTAGTGGCACCTTGCTTCCAATTCAAAAAACAAAAATGATTCGGAGTTTCTATTTTTTTATTATTAGATCTTTCGCAAATCACGCAATACCTGTTCCGAATCCCAACAAACAACACATTTTTGGTATTATAACCAATAATACTAGCCTATATTAAATTATAAAATGTGTTAGTAACGAATCTTAAAAAAAATTATTTTTCCATTTATTGAGATTCTAACATTAAATCTAGTTACTTAAAAATGATACTTACTACACCGGACAATGCGTCGTATTTAGTTCGGTAGCTTCGTTTAGACCATTGTCCGTCCGCTACCACAGTTATCATAGGTATGCCATCAGAACCTACACAGCCTGACTCAATAGCTAATCTTTTTTCTTCTTGGCCAGCTTTTTCCATTTCTGACCAAGCAGTATTAGATATCTCAGCTCCTAATAAGGTCTCGATACGTGTGTACGTATTAGACGAAATCGAGGGTATTTCTAAGCCAGACAATAATTCGTATACTTGTGTGTATCCTATTCCTAAAAATAATAATGTCATATGTATGCACATAGCTTTATAGTTTATATAGACATACTTATAAGCCAGTTGCTCGTCTTGTAAAGAATACTTTTAAATATAAAATAAAAATACTAAAAATATATATTTAGAATACGTATTTGAATACAAAAAAGTATTAAAATACTTGTATTCGAATACTTTACAAGACTGCCAGTCACAGATTTTATTCTTTAAGTTTCAAAGTAGCTTAAACTTACCAATTGCTATTGTACTATTAACGATAGCTTTATTTATAGACCAATTGGTTTTAGGCGATTCTTTTACTGTACATATTTTCGATTTAATATTGCACATCTTACATATAAACCAGCACTCTGAATAACAGCCTCTGCGGTCTTCAGACACAAAATCCATATCAATGAAACTACATCCCAATCCAATATCATGATTAACATTTTTTATTTGGGCAAATATGTAGGACAAATCGACAATTCTCCTACCAATAATTTCACCAAATGATTCACTGAAATAAAATGTTTTGGATAGTTAATGTAAGGATTGGTTAGATTCGGTACATAAAGAAAATAAAATTAGTATTACGTGTTGGAAAAATCGTGAGTTTGTGCTTTTTCAGCCGATAACACATGACTTTCAATTTCATCGATATTTCTAACAAAGTTCACAAATTAAAAAAAAGACATTACCTATATATGATTTAATATTTTACGTTCAAACTACGATTTGACGATTTAATAAATTATTGATATATACCTGGGTGTAAATTCATTTACATTAGAAAATATGTTTCCTGATGGACCTGGCATCGATCTATCATCTTCTAATAACAAAGGTGCCACTGAATTTTCTTCAGTCGACGTATCATGGGGAACCAAATCAAAATGTTCCTCTTGTTGAGCATTAAAATTAGCAGTTTTTAATCTAAACATTTTTTGATGAATATCCAATGTCGTACAAATTTAAACTTTCTCGATTTAGACGATTTTGACTTTAAACTGGCTTATAAAAAAAAATATCGACTCGAATTTTAATTTTTTTTTAATTGCGATAGTTAAAACTTATAAGAAACCTTGTATAAATAGCTCATAAAAAATCAAAATATTTTGATAATTTAACCGTCTATAGACAACGCTAATATAAAAATTTGGTAAAAATTTCTAGTATTAGTAAAATCACGAGTGTGAGGGAATAGAAACCCGTTATACTATTTTATAGTCGACGAGTAGTAGGTACCTAAATGACTTGGTACTTATGATAAGTACTACTCATTCTGTAAACTAGGCATTCTGTAAACTAGGCATTATTATTATTTTATTATAAATTTAAAATTCTTAGTCTAAAAAAATAATAAATGTATCATATTTTGTAATTTGGAATTTACCTTTTTGCATCACGGGCTGCTTTCAATCTTTCAGCCACGATTTTTTTTACAGACGGTTTCTTTGAACTGTATGGAGTATTCTTTTTAGAACGGTCCATTTTTTAGTGAAGCAAAGGCAACAAAATATAATAAAAATACAACACACAGTAACGGCAAAATAATTCGTAGCTTACCTACTAATTACTATAGTACTATAATAAAATACAGAACTACAGAAGTGATATTACTATTAGTATACTACTATACTATTATCAAATGTCGTTGTTTCATACCACGAATCACAATAATTATAGATAGAATAATATCTAATATCTATAATCGACAGACGACAATAATCGTATAAATAATTTATTTATAAAAATATAAATAATATCGCCGCCCGCCCGCTATAATTATTTTACAGATAGCGACGACGCGGGTCGGCACTCGGCCTTCATAATAATATTATGCAGTACACACTACACAGTAGTTGCCTCAGCGGTGGGGGTATGATAAATTGGCAACAGCCGCCGCGTTGCAACAGCAGCACCGGTTTAAAGCATAAACGCTGGTTTTTTTTTACACTTTCCATAAAAACATCCCCTCGCACTTCCAATAGTATTCAAACATTGTTTGTCGTAGAGAATCGAATTTTAGTACCAAATTAAAGACCAGAACTTATTCTACGTGCCTATAGAAAGTTTTTTTGCAAAACTTATTTGCTATTTATTTTATAACCTTTTGAAAAACGGAAAACTTTTCATTGTAAAAACAGTAGGTAGGTATTTTTTTTTTTTTAATATGGCTCTATACGCACATAGGAGATATTCTAAGCTTTCTATGGGTATATTTAGATTTATTATACCATTATTACTTCCTGAGTACTATTGGAAGTCCGGGGCGCTGTTTTGATATTCAAAAAATTAACCTTCGACGTCCTCTTAAGAGTAACAACTTATATAAAATATAAAACCGCTATTGTCACTATTGCAGTACCTACACTATTGTCGTACTTTACAATTAAAACTAAATAATATTATATTTCATCATAAACTCACTACTGCTGTTTTGGTCAGATGGCGGCGTAAGAGGTTTCCCGGTGTGAAGTCAACGTGAGGAATGAAATGCCTTGAACATAGCTTAGATGTTCGGTTGACTTGAAACCCCTGGTTCTCGATGAATTGAAC